GAGGTAAGGTGTGTCTTTAATCTGCTCGTTAACACTTGCTTACTAATTTTAAAGTTTTAGCATGAAAACTATAACAAGCACAAAATGGTTACAAAGTTGGTCCCAGGGACCGAGTCCGTGCTGAAAGAGTTGATGTGTTTGTGTTACCATACAAGAAAACTTGCAGGCTGAATGTCCCATGGAAATATAAAGGCTTTATTGACCCACCAGGTTTCCAGTTTTTATTAGATGGAATTACAGTAATAAACTGAAAAAATGTTTGAAAATAATGGATTACAATTGGGAAAACAATGAGAAACACAACATTGATAATGCATACAGTCATATGAGATTGGTCTCAGTAATAATAGAAGTGTGAATCTTTGCTTGGTTGACATATTGATGTGTCATTATGTATGTTCAGCCTACAATCAGGTACAACTTGACGTGTCATATTGGCAAGTTTAAACATTATATGTTTGGTAAATATATGGTTTTGTTTACACGCTAAAGGAGTTTTTAACTCTGGTCAAAGCAATGAATTTGGGGAAAAGGTGCAGGGCATTATTACTTGATATTAAACTGAAGTTGGGAAAGTTTATGTACACTTAAGAGACTGTAAATATAGAAGAATTCATAAGTGTTTTTTCACTAATGTGGTGTCATTTAGGATTTCTTTTAACAGTTTGTTTCTTTATGGGTATTTTTAAAAAAATATATTTAGATAAGTATTTTGTAATAGCCTATATGTTAATGTTATTACCAGAAGAGTTTACAGTTGTTTTTGCATTTTGTATAAGTTATTTATTTATTTAATTAGTTACTTAATTTTGTTGTAGTTCATATTTTGTTAAAATTGGTACATAATTTCCTTGAAAGTAACAGTTTGGTTCTGTTAAAATTCTTAAAGTCCTGTTATTTTTTTCCATTAGCCTGTGTGAATTATAATCCCTGTGTTATATTTCCATTGTCAGATGATTATAGTGCATTTGTGTTTAATGCTTGAGATGGTTCTACTAAATTTTTAATTTCTGTATTTTTCTTTGATGGTTGGTTTATTCTAGTATATGTTAGATCTGATATCCTTTTGTTATATATTAATTTTCAGCAATGTGACCCTAGCATCTGCAGTATTGTTCTTTCAACATATATTTTGTGGTTTGAATGGGTTGTTCATATCATTCATGTGTATGTTTGTAGTGTCACTTCGATGATTTTAATGTATTCAATAATTATTATTCTTCATATTTCCAATGTAAGTGTGCATGTTTACTATCCAACTGGTTCTACTTCTGTTTCACAATTTTTTTAATTTTTTGTCTCAGAATGTGGTGATAACAGCTACTAAAATATTTTCTGTATATGTTAAGTGTCATTTAATTGGAATCTGGATTTTAATATCACTATTTATTTTCAGTACTATATGGTTAATGAATACTATTACCTGTAGTGCATTGTTTATGTTCTGTAACTGTTTAAAACTGATAGGGTTCTTCTGAGGATTTTTACAAATGTTACTTTGTGAAAAAAAAGTTCTGCCTTACAAATTCTTTCTTTCTTCTTCACTGACATTTAAAGAGACTGGATTACAAACACTGGTTGATCATCCTACTGCAAGTACATCTTTTAAAATAATGGTTTATAGCTTATTTTCTTTTATTATATCTGGAAAACATTTCCTTTCTAATATTTTATGTAAGCTAAGTGATTGTTGATGTACATGTGATAAGCACATTTATTAAATATACAAGTGTTTATTCCATTGTTCATTATTATTTTCATCCCTAAGATCAAAATGTAACACCCATTACAAACGTTTTTATTGGAAAACAAACACTAATATGGCATAAATAATCATATTTTTTTAGTTGGTTGTTGTTATTGTTTATAAAAAAAAAATTCAGTTTTATTTGAAGCTGATTTTGGTATAGCAATGTTCTGTATATTTTCTTTATCACATAAGAGTAATTTGGCTGGCAGTAGTGTCTGCATTGTTTGGTATCATTTCTCTTTTGATTAGTCTATGCTGATATATGTATTACCATATTGCTTTTAATTTCAGATAGTGTATACTTTTATCTTTTTTTACATTGTCTTTTATTGCTTCATTGTTACTTGTATGTTCTTATCTCTGTTACATTGTCCTACCTAGATTCACTGTTACTTGGTATATGTTTTGATCTGGATTACATTGTTCTTTATAGTTTCAATGTCAGTTTGTACATTCTTTTTGTTTGTATTATGTTTTGCTTGACTAGTTAAATTTTTTACTTGGTGTATGCTCATGTCTGTGTTACCTTGATCTGTATTATTTGATATATACCCATGTCTTTATTACATTATTTTCAATTGTTTCAGTGTTACTTGAAGTAAGCCTATGTCTTTATTACATTATTTTGTGTTGTTTTAGTATTATTTGATGTATACCCATGTCTTTATTACATTATTTTCTGTTGTTTCATCTGTATCTCATTGTTTATAGTTTCAGAGTTAATTGGTGTATGTCAGTGGTCCAATAAAGGCAACTCACAGGCTACATTAGGCTCTTGATAGTCTGATTTATGGCTCGCACTATGGTTACATATTGCACTGTTAACCATTATAATACTCAAAACTAAACAAAACTATTTTAGGAATGGTGTATTTCCAAACAAGCTCATCATCTGAAGTGGTCCAGCATACAAAATAATTATGAACCACTGGTATACTTTATTATGTAAAGATTTTTGTATGTGATTTTGTCTGTATTGCATTGCTTTGAACATTCAGTGCCATATGAATGAAACTTGTATATCTGTTATTTTGTTTTGTAAAATTTCTTCTATTTGTTTTATAGTTCTTTTTCTATATTACAGTATTTTTGCTTACTATCAACATTGTTGTCTGAGTGGTCTGTAATTTGTTATTTTGTATATTTTAAGTTCCTGCTGATAGAGCAAACAAGTTGGATAAACCAGAGAGAGTTAGCAGGTTTGCCAGTACTGGTGAAGATGGGTAAGTTATTGTCTAAATTTCAAAATGTGTACATATGTTTATTTGAGAGTTGAATCTTCAAAGTTTGCAACTAAAAATTGTTTAAGTTGCCACTCATTGGATCTGTCACTGTATAGAAATTGCTCATAATATAATTTTATTTAGAGATAAGATTGGTTAAAGGATACATTTGTTCAATGGTACTGTTTTAACTGATGAGAGGTTAGAATAGAAGTACAACACACTTAGTATCACAGTGAACTTTGATTGCTCCTGGTAAGTAACAAAAGTATTTTTCAGTTTAAAATTCTGATTATTTCTCTTAGAATGAGTGAAGACATTTGTTTGATAACTTGGAGAAGGTAGTACATAACATTTGTTTGTATTTACCTTGTAGTATAAGTGTACTGTTTAGTTGGAAATAAAATTTATTGTTGTTTTATTTATTGGGAAAATTAATATGGAATTGAAAGTATTCAAGTCCATTTATTAAATAATAAACTTTTTTATAATAAGATCTTCAGTTACACAAATAATGCTTCTTTCCCCATAAGAAGTTGTTCTTACTAAGCATAGGTTAACTTTGGTGTACATGTTGATGGGCAATCACATAATTTTAAGCTCTTTCATTTTGAAAGAGACTGAACTTTTCACCTAAATTCAGAATGGGCTTTCCTAAAACCTTAACATTTTTCTAGCATTATACAGATTACTTTGAAATTTCAGTTGTCAACTTGTGTTACCTAATGTGAGTCAGTTGATTTTTTAAGGTTTAACTTTAAAATTTATAGAAGCAAGGTGCAAGAAAAATAATGTTTGGGGACTACATTTAAAAGAAACTAAACAACATTGGTTTTTGTTTTTTCTTCAATTGGAGTTGGCTTACAATTGAAGAAAAGCAGTATTGCTGAATATTGTTAGTGCCCTTTTTCCAATTTTTATATTTTTCATTTATTTTTCTGTACTTTATCTGTACTTTACAAAATTTTAAATAGTTTTTTTGAAATTCAAAATACAGAAACATACATAGAAAAACAAAGATTAGTTTTTAGAAAATGGAACTTCACAAGCTTTTATCATGATAGAAATTTTCCTTCATTTCTCCATATTAATTTCTCTGGCCATATCATTTTCTCTAGAAATTATTGCTAAACCATTTAATCTCTTATCCCATTGTGGAATGCAAAAATGTTTTTTATCAACTTTAGCTTTGAAAACGATTTTTTGCCACATACCACACTAACAGGTAAAGTTAATAAAATTCTTAGAGTGATAAACATATTTGAAAAAATTTCATTTGATTTTTGCATATATAAAATAAGACTATCTGGAATGGAATTTTCTGGCATTCGATGTGATATTAATTTAAGATCTGCACACAGATTTTCAACACAAATATCTTTTTTCTCTTTGCTTGTATTTTTTCTAAATTTTTACAGTGTTTAAGAAGTTACTAATTATTGAAAAAAAAATTAATTATTTTTCACATCATCAAATAAACTAAATCTTTCCTCAGTTACATGTAAACTTTTATCAACTTGTTCATTTTCATTTGACATATCTTTTTGAATTCTTGTTTTTCTTTCTTCCTCAAAATCATCAGGAATTTTCAATTCATTACAAATTAACTTCTGCATTGTTCAAAATAATGTCAAATTTTACATTACTTTTTTAATTAATCAAGAAATTTTTTGTTAATTCAAGTGATCCATTTATGAGATGTAGGTCTGTTATAGCTGATTGCATAATTTTACTGTTTGTATTTATCTCATTCAAGATTTCATGCCAAATCAGCAATAAAAGAACAAACTTGTATTTGCTGCAATAGATTCTGCTTTGACTTCATACACTCAAGAATTCCAAATTCATGGTGTTTTGACTGCATTAATATTGCTCTCCCATTGTGTATTGCTTAAATTTTTCCAAGTTAGCTTTGAGCACATTTTGATGAAAATTTTCCATTTTTGAATAAAACCTGAGAAGAAGACATAAATTGATTTAATTATTTCTGAAAATTTGACCATTTCAAGAGTAGACTTCACCATATCTGTGATAAACAAATTCAAAGTATGATTATTGCACAAGATATATGAAGCTCTGTGATTCAATTGTAAAACTTTCTTCTGGACTCCTTTGTTTTCCCTTTCATATTTTCTCCATTATTGTAGCATTACCCTCTTAAATTTTTTATATTTAACCACACTGTTATGGATCAAAGGCCAAGTTATTGCATTTGTTGATTTGCATTCAAAATTTTATTCAACTACTATTTTATTAATTTTTATTCAATAAGTTTGGTAGCAAATTGAAGATTACAATTCAAATTTTAGTACTATACATTAGTTAATTTCCTAACTTAAAAGTAAGTATAAAAAAAATTCCTAAGTATCAATTTTTGGTGTCACATGGTATGTTGAATGCAGCATTGTTTCAGATTGGATATTTGTGATGTCCAAATACAAAGTCTATAGCTTGTTACAAACTGTGAACTCAATTTACCAATATTGACAAGCTAGAATGTAAAATAAGAACCTCCTATCTTTTCTGTTTGATGAGATATCGCTACATTTACTGACTCAAACACTGGCCATGCCCATCTATTTCCATTTTTTGGAAACACTTTCTTATGTATGCATGCTTCTGTCTATGATGTGTGAATAACCAATCAAAAGCTCAGAATGTCTCCCTTGTGGCTTTCTCAGTCTTTTTCAAATATGTGGATACGGAACTCTTTATTTTATTATTATATATATACAAGATTCCAACTGGTAAGGTAAAACTTTAGTGAACTCAAAATTTAATATTTTTTTTAAACCCAAATAAAGCTTAGTAACTAAGCTTGATAAATTATAGGTGGAATTCTGTGGTATTGATATAGTAATTTATGATTTTTTGTTATTTGAAAATGTATATAGAAAACCTAAAAAAATTGTTTCATTTCACATCCTCCACATGAAAACTTTGATAAGGCTTAGCAACCTATGGCAAGTAGCAAACAAGTACACAATTTGTAACTATAAGATATAATTATTTTCTATAATTCTTTATTTACTGTTCTATGTTTTAAGAAAAATAACTGAAATTTAAGAACTTATCTGTAAATAGTAATAATGTACTGTAACCAATATGCGACTGTATTTCACAAAATGCTGGTCCATTAGAACACAGCCAAGACAGGCAGTTTGTAAAGGCCAGTTTTATATTCTTGAATACAGTAATATCAGTGCACGTACACGTCATCATTGCAACTTCTGTAATGTTAATTAGGCACAGCCAAAAAGTCAATAAAATAAAAATAAATATATATAGATGTATAATGTTACGAGATTTAAGCTATTTAGACTAAACAATTATGTTTGTGTTATAATCTGTAGTC